TGGATTTCATCACAGGGTGCACGGTTGGGTCAACGTGTAAACCAAGAAATGTAATGGATACAGAAAAAGCCTTTGATAAAATTCAGTACCCACCCATTCATGTTAAAAACACTGAACAAAATGGGTATGGAAGAAACTTACCTCAACATTATAAAGGATATATACAACAAACCCAAAGTCAATATCATACTGAATGGAGAATAACTGAAAGCATTTCCTCTAAAATCAGGAACAAGAATGTTCACACTTACCACTCCTATTCAATATAGTTCTCAAAACTCTAGCCAGAGCAATCAGCAAGAGAAGAAAATTAAAGGGATACAAATAGGAAAAAAGAAGTCAAATTATCTGTTTGTTCATGACATGATCCTATATTAAAAGACCCCCAAAAAACCCCACCAGAAGACATCTAGATATGATAAACAAATAGAATGGAAGAAAATCTTTGCTAGCTACTCCTTCAACAGGTGATTAATATCCAGTGGCAGCATATGAGATCAACATACAAAAATGAATAGCTTTCCTATACTCCAATAATGAGTCTGCTGAGAAGGAAATCAGGAAAACTATCCTGTTCATTATAACATCAAAAAAATATTGGGGAATAAGTCTAACCAAGGAGGTAAAAGACCCCTAACAAAGAAAACTATGTAACACTGAAGAAAGAAATTGAAGAAGACCTTAGAAGATTAAAAGACCTCCAATGTTCTTAGATAGGCAGAATTAATATTGTCAAAATGATCATATTAACAAAAGCAATATACAGATTCAATACAATCTCCATCAAAATATCAATGAAATGCTTCACAGAACTAGGGAAAAACAGTCCAAAATTTCATATGGAAGACTAAAAGACCCAGAATAGCCAAATTAATACTGAGAAAGAAGAGTGATACTGGAGGCATCACAATACCTGATCTCAAATTATACTACAGAGTTATAATAACAAAAGTAACATGTTATTGGCATCAAAACAGACACAAAGACCGATAGAATAGAAGATAGAGACAACCTACATGTTATCTGATAATTGACAAATGTGCCAAAAACATATGCTGTAGAAAAGAACCTTTTTTAACAAACGATGCTGGGAAAACTGGATATCCTTACATAGAATAATGAAACTTGACTTTTTAAACCATATTAAGTGGATCCAGGACCTAGGAATTAGACCAAATACTCTACAACAGTTAAAAGAAAATAGGCTCAATACTCTAACATATTGGCACTGTACATATTGACATTGTCCTTAAAAAGACACCTAAATCCTGAGAAATAAAACCAAGAATCAAAAAGTGGGATGGCATTAAATTTAAAAGCTTCTGCACAACAAAAGAAAGAAGACTGTGAAGAAAAAGCTAATAGAATGGAAGAAAATCTTTGCCAGCTACTCCTTCAACAGGTGATTAATATCCAGAATATTTTTTATAAAAACATAACACCAAAAAAATTAACAAATGGGTAAAAGAACTAAACACAGATTTCTCAAAAGGAGAAATACAAATGGTCATCAAGTATATGGGGGAAAAAACGTCTAACATCCCTAGAATCAGAGAAATGCAAATCAAAACCACATTGATATATTGTCTCACTCCAATTACAATGACAATCTTCAAGAATACAAATAATAATAAATGCTGACTATGATGGGGGCAAGGTATGCTCATAAATTGTTGGTGGAACTACAAATTAGCACAATCACTTTGGAAAGTAATATGGAGATTCCTCAAAAGACTAGGAATGGAACCCCCATATTATACAGCTATCCCACTCCTTGGTATTCACTCAAAAGAACCAAAGTCAGCATACTACAGTGTGAAAACACTTCAATATTTATAGCAGTGCAATTCACAATAGCCAAGTTATGGAATCAGCCCAGATGGTCATCAACAGATGAATGAAGAAAATGTGATACACACAAACACAAACACATACACACACAATGGAGTTCTAGTCATAGATAAGAATGAAATTATGGCATTTGCTGATAAAATGGATGGAAATGGATAACACGATGCTAAGTGAAATAAGCCAGACCCAGAAAGTCAAGGGTTTTCTCTCATATGCAGATGCTAAAGCAAAATAAGCAGGGAAAGGTTGTGGGGTAATCCAATGAAAACAGAAGAGAGATCAGTGGAGTAAAGGTAGGGAATAGAGGAATGAGAAGAAGGATGGGAAAAGGGAGAAACTACAGAATGAAATTGACCAAATAATGCTATGTACCTGTATGAATATACCACAACAAATTTCATATTTATGTATATCTATAAAGCACCAATTTTAAAAAAAACAGTAACTAAATAGAAGGAAGATAGTAAAGTGGATGAAGGGGAACAGGGAGAGGAAAGAGGAAAAGGAAAGAGTAAGTAGGGGGGACTGAAATGAAGCAAATTATATTTTATGTGTGTATGATTTTTCCAAAATGAATCCTATTGAGTATCATACACTAATAAAAACATTTTTAAAAATAAAAGACACATATGGGAAAAAGTCATATGAGCAGTAAGGGTTACTGTATGACCACATAGAGGAGGAAAAAACTCAACTTTTATGGATACATTATGGATAGGATGGTTTGTCATACAGGTTCAGAAATGGAAAGCAGCTGTGAGAGGTAACGAAAGGAAAAACTTTCCCAAATGCTGAAGCTTTGAATTCTGCACACACATAGAGATCTGCTTTGTGTGGAACTCCACAAATCCCTTAAAGCAAAGAGTTATACAAGTCAGCTTTGTATTCTTCATTATCTACTCTTTAACAGACAATTCTCTTAGTTTTAAGATAACATAAAATTTAGTCAAGCTTATTATGGAAAAAAAGGAATTTATGATAAGGATACCGTGATTCTTTTATAAAAATTCAAGGACAGGAATAAATACAGGCCTAAGGAAATTCTAAATCTGGAGACTTTTCCCATATCATCTTTTTACCTCCCTGAATATACAATTTGCTTTCTCTCTTCTTTATACTTTGATGTTTTCTATGTCTTCAGGAGAAATGTATGTGAAAAATGGCCTCTATCATAGATGGATGAAGACACACACACAATACATAAATAAAGCACCAATTTAAAAAAAATACATAAATAAAGCACCAATTTTAAAAAAACAAACAGTAACTAAATAGAAGGAATATCAGTAAAGTGGATGAAGGGAAACAGGCAGAGGGGAACACACACACACACACACACACACACACACATACATTATTGATTCAACCAACTTGATAGTCATTCTTTATTCAGAATGGTTGCTAGGGGCTCAGCCTTGACCCAGATAACTAGGTCATTGTGAGATTAAAAAAATAAATAAACAATAATTCTCATTAATTCTCTCCTGAAAAATCTGAATCTTCTTAGGCATATCTGTTTTCATTTATTATATAGTTCTGTCGCCAATCCATCCTTCTTTAAAACTTACTTTTATCTTTTCTTCTCCATTCTGACTTTATTATTTGCCAAAATGATAGTTCAAAAGATATATATTTTACTGTGATTAAATTCACATTTCTTTACCAGTGAGGATAAACTTTTTCTCATGACGTAGGGCTATCAGTATTTTTGCTCTTTTGGATTGTAGGTACTGAATTGTGTACTTTCCCAAAATTCTCGTGCTGAAGTGTCAACCCCAATACTGTATTTAGAGACAAAGCCTTTAGGGAAGTAAGTAATGTCATAAAACAGGCAAGGTCATTTGAAGGCAGATGTTTGCAAACCAAAGTGAAAGATCTCCGAAGAAACCAAATCTGCTGATATAGTGACCTTGGACTTCTAACCTCCAGAATTGTAAGAAAAGAAATTCGTGTTGTGTAAGCTTCAAAGTCAGTCTGTGGTATTTTGTCATGTCAGCCCAAACATATTAGCAGTTTACCTCTGTATTTCTTTTTTTTCTTTAGATTTGTTTCTTCAGGTAATAGCACTCTAATTTTAAGATAGCCTTTCATACATGATGAATGCAACAAATATTTTTCTAATTTATTTCCCTCTCTCCTTCAACTTCTTTTTTGCTTTACTTACTGTCATTTTAAAATTTGCGAGCCAAATTTTTCATACTTTTCTTTTATTGCTGCTGCATTTGAAATTATGCTTGAGATCGCCCTTCTTGTCCTCAGAATTATATTTATACTTATCTACATGTTTTTCCAGTTCTATTTTTTTTTTCCTTTTTGGTCACTGAAATGTTATTTTCAGTGTATAATGCAAGATATAGCTCAGTGTTTTAATATAGCTAACCAATTCTCTATGTCATTTATTCAATCATTTCCCATTGATTTGAAATCTTTTAGCGTAGCCTAAATATACTTCAAACTTCTGTTGCTTTTTGCTTATAATGATCATTCATTCAATGATTCATTTTGGAGACTATATTCTCCCACAATCACCACTAGGGAAAACGAATTTTTTAAGTTTAAGAAAAATCTTGGATGTCTTCAAGTGTGGAAAAAAGATTTCTCTTTCTTTCTTTCTTTTTTTTTTTTTCCCCCTTGGATTAGGGAAAGCTTTTAAAGTGAGTTTTAAGTTTTTCATCATATGTTTTCATCTAATAAAAATATTTTATTAAATGAAGGGCAGGTACCATTTGTCAAATTATCATACTAATAAAAGAAAAATGATAAACTACATGAGGACTGCTAACTTGGCTTTTTCAGATTCCTTTAAGAGAAGTGTTCTAATCTTTTATTACCACTATTATTATATATTATTAACACACACACACACCCATTCTCTTTGATAAAATTCCAACAGTAATGAAGGGTGAGTCAGGAGACTGTTTTCACAATGATCCCTGCTTAGTGGAAGAAAAGGACCCACCCAATGGTGGGGCCTTGGAAGAAGGGGAAATTCTTCCAAGAATTTCCAACCGAAACACGGGCGCAGTCCCGCAAAGCCCGTTCCCCACTTCCGCCACTCCCTCCACCCCGGGCGCGGAAAGCTGAGGGAGGGCGCCGAGGTTGTGTGGGAAGGCGGAGCTGAGAGGGAGGCCACAGAGAAAGTGCGCTCAGATTTTTGAAGGTCGTAGAGGGAACTTCTTAACTATATCTAGATGCTCAGCCAAAGCCTCAGAAAGAAAACGCGGGAAGATCTTCCATCAGGCGTGCGGAACTCCGGGGGAAAAGCTCGGCCCCACCCCACCCCATCCCGGCATCCTTTGCGCGGTGCACTCCTCCGGTCGGCCGCCGTCAGCCGGGAGTTGCCATGGAAACCCAGAGGCCCTAGGTATGTCGCTGCAGCGGCCCCCTCCGTCGCGCGTGTTCGTAGAACTGGTTCCTTGGGCTGATCGGGGCCAGGAAAACAATTTGATCACTGGCGGAGAAACGCGGCCCAATGTCTGCCGCCCCCTTTCCTCAACACAGGCCCAAGCCGCGACCCGCGAAGTGCACGTCAGCGGCACTGCGGAGGTGTCTGCTAGCCCTGACCGGGCACAAGTGGCAGTGCGAGTGAGCAGCACCAAGGAGGCAGCGTCGGAGGCCAAGAAGAGTGTTGGCCGTCGCCTAGACTACATCACGCAGTGTCTCCAGCAGCAGGGATTGCAGGTGAGAGTTCAGCAGAGCGGAAACTTCCAGCCTCACAGCACAAAGGGATGGGTGGATGGTTGGGCCCTGACAGAACACTGTGGTGGGGATGCGGGTGTGGAGATTCTTGGGCGTTTGGAAAGCCTTCGATGCGTCATGTTTGAAGGCATCACGACCTAGCCAAGTGAATCTTTTTGACCTTTCTGTGTTCTAGATGAAAGCAATTCTTGGCCTCAGTGAACTTGCAAAAAAAAAAAAAAATGCAGATTAGGTAGGTTTTTATCTGGCGATATATGCAGTGATTTTGTTTTTACATTTGATGAAATGTTAAAACTTGAAATGTTAGATGTAAATACTTGGCTAAGTAGAAAGCTGGGCCCTAAGTTTGCTTTTCTTTTTCTTCCCCCGCCCCCCTTTTTTCTTTTTGGTCATTTTTACTCTGTATCATGGAACTGGCAAATAAGACATGACCTGCTTCCTCTAAAGCATGTTAAAGTTTTGTAATGCGTGGTTTTTCAGTCTTTTTTTTTTTTTTTTGTAAACAGTATTGCAGGGGGTGAAGAGGTAGCATCCATTTTAAGTTTATAAAACTCCCCCCAAAATTCTTCAACATTTTTAGTTTTAACTTTTTTTAGAACAGTTAAACCGGTGTATTGTGGATGTGACATGTGAAATACCTCTACTTAACAGAGATGCCCATGAGACAAATCACCTAATAAATCTTACCTTAAAGCCCACTCCTAAGAAAAAAAAATGAGCCAGCTTTATTTTATCCATACAACAACCCTGTTAATCATGTTTTAATATCCCCATTTTCTAGATTTAATGAAGGTAAGTAATGCTCTGAACTTCAGCATAGCAGTATTTGAACTTCTGTGTTCTGAAATCAAAATCTAGGTTGCATCCAACTATCCCAGGCTCCATATAATTAGAATGAAAGTAAATTGGAAAACAGACATCAACTGTTTCAGCTTCCTTATTTTACAAAGTACTTCATTATTTTACTTGATGCAGAGTAACATTGAGTTTGTAAAAGTGCAGTCATTCTTGCTTCCAGTCTATTGCTAGAAATGCCATAGCCCTGAAAAGCAAGTCTGTATTTTAATAAGGAAAATATGGTTGTGTTGCATTTACAAAAATAAGAGTTATTAAGTCATTTAGGAAAAAATTCTCAAAAGAGATTTATGATTTAGAAGAATTCAAATGTTAATTCTAAATAATGTGAATAAAATGGACTTACTATATAGAAAAATGTTTCTTAAAAACCTGCTACCAGTGCCATAATCTTGTTTGAATTAAGTCATTTACATAAAATATAAACTGGGCCCATGTGTCTCTAACTTCTAATATGTAAAACAAAATAAATTACTAAGTCTAGTTTAGAGTAATTACGTTAAGATTCAATGTTTAAGACAAGACAAAGATAGTAATCTCCCAGATTATCTCTGTTAATGAAGGAAGGCAATTGTGTAGATGATTTGTTCAATAAATAATAAATTAAAATAATTTATATTACTTTTCAGGATTAATTACTTGCATTCATAAAGTCCTTATTCATTTTAAACTTCAGAATATTGGGTTGTAAGTTTTATAAATATCATACCCCTTCTTAAAAGGCCCCTCATACTTTTAAACTCTTTTGCTTAATATATGGAACTTAACTCTCTTCATTTCCTGTCATCTTTCTCTCCTCTCTTTGTCTAGCTAACTTTTTCCCCTCTTTCCCCAGGCCTAGCACACCTTTTTGCATTCCTTTCCCAGTATAACACAAGTCTCTATTATATGATACTCCACTCTTTAATATAATGTATCACCCTGTGTAACTCTTGATTTACTTGTCTGTATATATTAAACCTCCCCAAAGCAAAGGGCTTTTTTGCATTCATGAGTTGTGTTCATGTGCACCACATAGGTATACATAGTCAAGGGGCAAGGCAGTTTACTGGAGCCTCTTTTATAAGGGCAGTTTGCTGAAGAGTCCCAAATAAAACAGACTAATATAAGTATGTATGTAATCGAGTAAGAAAGAAAACAATGTTCATTGTACTTGAGGAGTTTCAGTAAGATCTCATAAAAGAAGTGACACTTCTGTCAAATATTAAACAATAATTAAAGGGAAAGCATTCCTGTTCCTCATTAGAACTCAGCAAGCATATATGTTCTGAGCACTATAAGCAGTTCAGAATGGCTAGGACACAGAAGACCTGGGGGACATAAAGGAGAATCAGAGGTAAGATTGACGAAGAAAGCTAGAGGCAGAACATGGAGGAAACTTTGTGTGCCCTACTGAAGAGTTTAGATATTATTAATTATTATTGCTGGGCCTTTTACAAATGCTATTTCATTTAGTATTCCTACCCTATAAAATCAGTACTAAAATTGCTGTTTTACAGATGAGAACTCTCAGGACCAGAGCGATTGTTCACATTTGGGAAGTGGCAGAGTTTAAACTCCAAGAACTTTGATCTCAAAGCCCATGCTCTTGACTACTAAAGTATGTTGCTACTTTATTCTCTTGGCAGTGGGTGATTGAGCAGATGATACTGATCACCCCCACATTTATCTGTTGGCATTTCACATTTGTCTGTTGGCATTTCACATTTGTATGCATGCAGGCCCAACTTCTGTCTGCCAACATATGTGAATTATTTGCCTGAAAATGAAAGTTTTCCCTGGCTACCAGAATTTATTCTGCCTGCATGTGAGGCCAGACAATAATGCTTGGAAATTAATTCCTAACCCCTCATCCTAACAGCCTTCAATTGAAGGCTTAAATGAAACTGGAATGACTGAGGAGACCCCAGCTTCCTCACTCCTTGAGTAGAAAAACTTGGAGGCATGTGTTCCACCCCAGTTGCAGGGTTTTTCTATAGGATTAAATTTGAGTTACCCATAGTAATAATTTCCTTGACAATGACTTATTTTCCTTCTCTGTCTCTCTTCCCACTCTGGTATTCTATAGGATCATATACAAAATCACCTGTACTCAAATCTTTGTCCCAGGATCTGGTCCTGGAGTCACCCAATTTAAAACAGAAAATAATGGAAAAGATAGAACATATATATTAACAGTAGTTTTTTATTATTAGGAATGGTAAAAAAATGATGTACTTATAGCTAAATATTTATATAAATCCTTAATTAATGTTCTTTGGACATTAACTGCTATATATATAGTGTATATTTATATATATATATTTGATATATATATATAATTTATATATATGTATATGGAATATAGATATATATATACTTGAAGGTTGATGAAAAATTATACTCTAGGAAAATAAGTTATACCACAACCTGGCATGGGAGGCAGTATTTTGTTTCTTAATTTTGTTAATTCAGTAAGTCTAAAAAATTATTCTGTTACTTTTTTTAACATTTGAAGTTAAACTTTTTTCATATTAGTTTCCAGGTACTTTCCTATTTTTCCATTGTTTTTTCTTGGTTAGTTTAGAAGAACCTTAAAATTAAGATTGTTCAGAGTTTATGTCTATCATATATTGCAAAAGTTTTCTCCCAGTTTCTTATTTATCATATAATTTAGCTTATACTTGTGACTATTCAAAATTTTGAATTTTTATTTACCCAAATTCATTCATCTTTTCTGTATGTTTTCTGCTTTCAATGTAATGCTTATTGGGTCCTTCCTAAGCGTGATGTCATATAGCCATTAACTGATATGTCTGAAATATTAAGGGACCCTTGAAAATGCATTAAATGTTGTGTTTTATTTTTACCTTGGTATAAGAATAAGAGTTTTGTAAATAACTGTACTGAAACAAAGTATTGAAGTCTGTCATTACCTTATTGTATTTGCAGGAACCTATCTTAAACTGCCTTTACTAATAAAAAAATATTTCTTTACCTAACTGAAAAGTTGTAATATGAGTAATCAAGTATAATATGGTCAAGACTCTATTTTGATGTAGTTCCCTTGGCTTCACCTGCATCTTCCTGCATGATACAAAATGACTGCAACAATCTGAAGCCTTACATCAAATACTATATCTTAAAAAGACAATTGTGCTTATTAATGTATCCATGTTAAAAAAAAAAAAAACCCTGCAATTCACTCTAACTGGATAATTTAAACTTGTCTTTGTGGCCAGGGAAATGCAGTAGACCAGTTTAGATTTGGATATCTGTTCATCTTTTAACCTAATCCTGGGGCAAGTCAGACATGATATCAAGGCAATAAAGACTTATGGGGGTGTCTCTGAATCATAGGACTTCTGCTCTGAAAGAGTAGGAGAAAAATATACGATATGAGGATTCCATATTGCCTTTTTTGCCTGTTGCTTTAAAATGTTCCATATTATTGTTTTTTGCAGTCTTCAGATGTTCTGGAATTGGGTTATATTAGTAGCACACTATTTAAATTATTAACATCTTTATAAAATGTTTGAGGGAGAATTCTGACCTCGTTATTTTTCCCCTGAAATGATTTCCTATCTGCAAGGAGTGGTACATGTTAAATGGCAAAATGGGAATACAATCAGAAATTCCAGATAGTGGGAAATCCTATAGGACAAATAAGACTTCTCTGTTCATATTTTACATTATATTTATATGTTCATTTTAGGATAATTGCAAATTTTGCAGTATTGTGTCCTAGTCCATTTATTCAGTTATTTTTTCTGTAAAGTTTTATGGTTTTCTTCATGTCTGCCTTTTTATGAAAACAACTGGCTATTAATGTTATTCCCATATTGACCAATTCATTGTATTTATATATAAAAGTGCTTAATTGGGAAAACTTAATGAATTATGCTTGTATAATTCAATATTTTTTAGGTTTACCTGGTATTGGCATGGTTTCTCAATATTGGCTGTTACATTTTGTATCATCTATCTACTACGTAATGGCAGTGTGCTTTTCTTCCTACATTGTAATAATCAGAAATGTTCTACACATTGGCAATGTCTCCTGGAGGACAAAATCATCCTCTGGTTGAGAACCACTTATAGATATACAACTTATAGATATACAACAGATCTCATACTCTTCATGGAAGCCCACCAGCTAAATGGGAATATAACTATAGGAAACAGACTCAGGTTTATATAGCATGCTATAGTAAAGAATGCATCCCAAAGGACTTTAGGAATATTTCAGAACTGAGGAGTAAGTTGGAGTCTTTTAATAGGTTTTAGACTGATGCTAAATTATTCTAAAAAGGATCAGTGAAACAAGGGCAATATGGTAATTGGCTATTTTATTATTTTTTTCCCCAATAGGAAACCCAGAGAATTAAAGTTGGGCTAGAGCTACCTTCAGTTAAAGCTCAATAATCAAGCAGTAAAGGTTGAAAGTTGCGAATGCAGTTAGGTTCTTTTCAATTAGAAACTTAGAAACTGTAATTCTATTAAAAACTTTGTGTTCTTTCTGTATTTTCTTGGAAGCATTGTTTATATTCTCCTTAGACCTTCTTAGTGATTGCCAACAGGCAATTTTTACTTCCCCATTCCCTATATCATTTGTATTTTCAAAATTTAGCAAATATGTGGTTATATTGATAAGAAAGATAGCTATTTTATATAGATTGCTTTCAAAATTTCTCAAGCTTCCCTTTATGAATCACTGGGCTAAATGAAGTAACTGTTTTACTGCTTCTAAGAATTTTTTCTTTTTCAGAGAGAAAAATGCTAGGGCCTAAAGTAAAGAAAGGATGGTCTTTTCTGTAATACTCCAATGTCCATGTGCAAGAAATGAATGACAGCTCACACCTTAGATAAAAATTTGTTCAAGATGGATAATAACTTAAGTGTAAATGTTAAGCAAGTGGCATCATTGCTTATTATCAGAGTAGGAATCTGAGTACTTCTTCCAGTGCATCTTGGTTTGGGAGTCACTAAGAAAACACAAGCAATCAAGCACTGAATAAAGCAACACTTTACTCACATTAAGAACAAACAGCAAAATCAACTTCAGTAGTAAGTATCAATCTCCCACAGTCAGCAAATCCCTCCATAGGGGAATTGGCCAGCATGTCTATCTCTTCTGCTGCTATAAAAAAGACCCCATCCTTTCCCCAGTGGGCACAGCTATAGCAATGGAGTTGTCTAGGCGCCATGTAATACACACACTTAATAGAACAAAGGATTCCACATTAAGCCTGAAATAGGGAAAGATTCTCATGCAAGGCAATAAACTCAGTGCCCAGCATAAGCTATGAAGATACTTTATCTCTTGCAAGGAAGTGTTCTAAGATCTAGATCCAAGGTCTAGATCCAAGTTCTAGACCACAGGCAGCTGAGAAGGGACTTAAGACCTGAATGAACAAGACTGTCTTTTCCAGCAGTAAAATATGAAACTTTTAGGAGAAAGTAAAAGAAAAAAATCTATGTGACCTTAAGTTTGAAGATGAGTTTTTAGATTTATTACCAAAAGCATAATCCATAAACTAAAAAAAAAAGATAAATTGTACCTTATCACTTTTTTAAAATTGCTTTGTGAAAAACAGTGTTAGGGAGCTGGGAATGTAGCTCAGTTGGTGGAGCACTTGCCTAGCATGTATAATGCTCTGGGTTCAATCCCCAGCACCACTAAAAAAGAAAGAAAAAAACTCTTAGAAAAATGAAAAGACAATCTAAGTCTAGGAGAAAATATTTGTAAATTACATGTCTGACAAAGAACTTCAAGAATATATATAGATACACACACATATATATATAACTTATTCAACAATAATACAAACAGCTCAATAAAATTCGCAAAAAGATATACACAGACATTTCTTCAAAGACATACAAATGGCAAATATATACATGAAAATATGGTTCAATATTACTTGTCATTAGGGAAACGTAAATTAAAACCACAATGATATATCACTGTGTACCTATTAGAACCCAATATGATGGTACCAAATGCTGAAGAGGATGTAGAGCAATAGTAGTTCTCAATCAATCATTGCTGGTGAAATTGCAAAATGATGTATTCTTTGGAAGATAGTCTTATAGTTTCTTATAAAGTTAAATGTAGACTTATCATAGAAACAAGCACCTCTGATAATTTATCCAAGTGAATTGAAAATTTATGTCCATATGAAAATCTTCACTTGAATGTTAATAGCACCTTTATTTGTAATTTCTTTTTTTTAAAGAATTTTGATATTTATTTTTTAGTTTTCAGCGGACACAACATCTTTGTTTGTATGTGGTGCTGAGGATTGAACCCAGGCCGCACGCATGCCAGGCAAGCGCGCTACCGCTTGAGCTACATCCCCAGCCCCTATTTGTAATTTCTAAAACTGGAAGCAACCAAGATGTTTCTCACCAGCAAATAGATAAACAGTGTGATATATCTATGCAGAAGAATATTATTCAGCAATAAAAAGTACAGAAATCAATTTATAGAACATCATGAGTGAAACTTACATGTATATTGCTAAGTGAAAACAACCAGCCCCAAAAGGATTCCATTCATGTGATTCTGGAAAAGGTAAAACTGTGGAGACAAATCAGATCAGTGATTGATAGGGATTGT